GCACCAATTGCCATGTCGTCAAGACCTCATCTGGCTCAACTAGATCCGGCTATGTGGTACCAACTGTCTAAAAAGAAAAGGAACAGCTCTAGCACTAACCTGTCAGGTACATAACGTAGAACATGTTGGAGGTGATCGAAAAGGATTATTGACGTGTAATGGAGCGATTGGAACGACTGATGGCGCTTCGATGGTGAGCTGTCAGTCTGAGGGCAAGACTACTGCTGCGGAGTATTGCTGAACTGGCAAGCGTTCGTTGGTGGCGACGATAGTAGGCCGAGAAGGTACCCGTGGCAGTGGTTGTACGACAGTAAATGCTTTTAGGGTGTGGGTGACAGTTGCCAATAAAGCATTGACAGCTGTACAAAAGAGATGAAAAGCGTTGATGTATGAAGAGCAAGGTAGAGGGAGCGGCTTGCAGTCAGTCGGACGGGGATGGGGGAAGCATATGTGCCTACTGTGGGATGGAGGAATATATTGCAGCAGGCGAGTGTAGCATGTATCCAAGCGCGTCTCGCCCACCAGTAAAAACGGAGGGGCAATTGGGCTTGTGGAAATGGATAATCTGCGGGTCTTGTTGCGGCTCTGAATGAGGGAGACCCATAGTATGTGCTGGCGAGAAGGTAGCCAACGGTAGAGGTTCCAGAATTTTAGCTAGTAAGAGACTCAAACCTCAAAAGGTACAGCCTGACCGGTTCGCTCTTGCCACCGTGCTGCACGCAGTAGCGCAGTGAAAAAACGGCTGGCGATCGGACACAATTGCTGTAACCCGTTTTCCCAAGGCTGGACATGTCTCGATCGGCATTGTGCAGGTTTAGACGCCTAGGATGGGCGCATAAACAACGAGGTGGCAGACGTGCATCCTAACAGCACTCTTTGCTCGTATCTCCCGGATGCACTGGGCCCACTAATGCAATATGCAAAGTGAGGGGAGAACGCAAATACGTCAGACTCTGCACCCTTTGTCAAGTGTACCGATACCCTGAAATCTTGGCAACAGAATGCGTGATATCGGCGTATGGTTTGGGAGGCAGGGTCTGAAAGGAATCAGAGACCAGACCAGACGTGCAGCAGAAAAAATGGGACTGCTAATCGGCTAGGGTACCAACCGCCAGAGTCGCGACTGGAGAGGAGTTGGACACGATTGTGTGACTGCAAGACAATGCAAAGCATAGTGGCTCGAAGCGAGAACGCGTCACAACAGGCATAGCATGGAGCTACCCGACAGCCCCAGGGGCGAGCGAGACGAGTTGATTGATGCGTTCGAGGGTTCGAGGAGATACCTGGGGTTGGTGTTACCAGAAAGCATCAAGCGTCACTGCCAACGCATACATGCAGAAAGCACGGTCCTCTGAATATCGCTACTGGGAAACGCGCCTGCAGCTCGAATAGGGAAAGGGTCAACGGCTGTTAGCTGTAAGCCGTGTGCATGCAGGCATAAATTGGCATTGCGGAGACTGTCTGATGGCGCTCAAGCACGTTCGCGAGACGTAGTGGAGTACGGTTTGACAGGCGATGATTGACGAGGAGAGGACAGTTGGAGGGGCCAGGCGTTCTCGCGCACGCGATCCCGGTCAATCGAGAGAGACAGAGATGAAGAGTTCACAGACCCTGGGATCCCCATGTTCAAGGCTGATGGTAGGGCATCAAGCAGTCCCCACTTTGCCGAAGTCAAGACATTGAAGATAGCAGAATGCCAAGCTCAGCACGAACGGGTCTGGAGCTTTGGGAGGAAATTTTCGAATCGACACAAAGGGATCATGCGTCGGGCGGCTGCAGAGCGTACTCGACAATTGACCTGCCGCGAAGTGGATAGCAGCAGTACAAAGGTTGAGGGTGCACAGAGCAAGTCGTCGTGGAGCGGAAGCAAAATTCGGACGATTCGATAGGCCGGCGCGGTTCACGACAGGCAGCGGTGCATGGCTAGGTCCCAGGTCCCAGTAAGGACCGCTTCTGTCTGGCGCCGATCCAAGATGGTGGTTGATACATGGAGCGGGACGATGGCGCTTGTGAATAGCGGCAACGAAGCGCAAGGAACAGCCACTGATATATTGGACAAAGAATAGCGTTTGAAGTCCAGACGAGCGCGTCCAAGGCCAGCAGAATCAGCGCGGAGATGAGTGAACGAGCTTCAGAACTATGTCGCACGCGCGGGAGATCTGTGGATGACGCGAGCGCGCCAGCACGGCCACCCGCCCCAAGCTGCAAAACAGGCGGTGAAGAAGCCAGCGCTGTCAACCATGCGCCCCTCTTTCTGCGCATCAATTCTTGACACTACGCATTAGCAAAGAAGACTGTTCTTTGACCTACTCGACTGCGTGAGAGGGCGGCCATTTGGACCGCAGAGTTGTCGGCCCTGTAGGCGTCCTGTCGTGGACATGTCGTCTTCGAATCGGCCTGATTCCATCAATAGGCTACTGAAGACCCACATGTTCGAGCGCTTTTCCAACCAAGAGCACCCTCACCCTCCTGTTCAGCCTCGCGCGGTGAGAGGTGGTGCTGCAGCCGGGTGTGGTGCAGGGTAATCAATCTAGAGGGGCCGGGTTTCGCGTCCATTACCGATGCTCGATGAGGGACACAACGCACCGTCCCGACCCTCCGATTCTCGACATTGCAGATTGCAGCCCCTCAGGGTCCATTCACCCTTACACAACTCGAGGATGCGGTAAAGGCTCTGGCCAGCTCTTTCCACGCTCCATGTGTGACGTCTAACAGCATACCTTGACTGCCATCCTTCACCGGCATCGGATAGCGGTGTCTGTCGTCTACTGTCAGTAGCATCAGTTACCCCACGATTCAAACCGACATTCCCTCTCTAGTGACACGTTTCAGACTATCGAGACAGGCATGGACTGCGCATCGAGAATGTACGCCTTGCCGTCTCGTAGTAGACAGGCTACGTAATTGCTGTCAGCTCACAAACAGACCACCCGTCGTACAGCCGCCGTACGCGGGGTCAACGGCCAGACTACGGCATCCGCAAAAAGCAAATGTAATTAGACCGTAGATGGAGTATGTACGACGTCTTGAACAATACGCTGTGCAAAGCGTAGGGGAACCGACGTTGACGTTGACGTTTCGAATGGCTCTCCGCCTACTCCGGAGTCCGACAGAATACCTAGATATACCAACTTGACAGCCTCACACATAATATACACACATTCATACAACGAGCTGAATCATACAAACCACTACTACAGCTACTTCCAAATCACCAGAACCGACAACCGTCAAGATGCCTAAGATCGTCCGCCTCACTATGTTCAAGATCCCCGACCAGGACATGGTCAAAGAAGCCATCCAGATGTACAACACCCTCGCCCAAGACGCGAAAAAGGTACGTCGAAGCCCTCTCTTGACTCGCCAACATTCCTTCCAAGTCCTCCCATTCCCGTTCCAGATCTCCATACATACCCGCTTTCTCAGCCGAGTTACGGCCAGCACATAACCATTGAACGTGCAGTCCATACCGCCCGCCCCCTGCACGACGGACCATCTCGTCACGTCGGGACCCCAGATTTATTCTAGTCGCCCTCGGGCTATTTCCATCTTGCTCCCTCGATAAGAAAAGAGCGGATAATGGCGTCAACCCTCCTCTTCGCGCGCGCGGAGCAATGTCCCTGGCGGGTAATCGCTGGAAATATTGCCGCGGCTAGGAGAAATGGGGTGGGGGTGACGAGGCTGCAGCGAGCGGGCGACACGAGCGAGCGCGCGGAATCAACTCCGAGTCGCGACGCACATATCGGCCGCCTTGGATCCATTGAAGCCTCACGATGGACAGACTGACGCTAGAGATATACCGACAGCCTCCGCACCGACTGACTTTTGAGGCTATCGTCGTCCGCCGTTTGTTGTTTGTTGCTGCTTATCGAGAGGATGCATGCTAACGTCATTGTGTTTTTGTGCAGGACGGCAAGACGTACATCCAGCTTGCACAAGCCAATGCCACCTATGACGACCCGCGCAGCCAGGGCTACACGATGCTGGCGCGTTGCATATTCGAGTCTAAGGAGGATATGGACTACTACGACAACCAGGATGAGGCACATGCTAAGATCAAGGCGCACTTTAAGCCGAAGGTCAACTCGCCGCCGCTCGTCCTCTACTCGGATATGGCATAGAGGGGCTGGCATGTGGGGTGTTGAGCGCTGTAGTGGAATACGTGGAATCGAAAGAGTAACACATGGCAAACTTTGTTTGCTGTTGTGATGATGCTAGAAATGACGAAAGATAGCGCATATGCCTACGCAAGTCTCCACGACAATATCAGCCGAGTAGAGAAAAGAAGAGTCTTTCTCGGTCAGACACACATATTGACAGAGCAAAGAACGTGATAACTAGGATGGATGGCATCAGACCTAGCTGCAGTCTCATTACTCGGCCCTTCTTTGTCTGGTTCAACATCTTTGTCTAAGACAACTACGTTGGTTTACGTGCAAACCGAACAGTAAGAATTTGAGCTCTTCTATCGTCTCGCCCGAAACTTCGGGTCAAGATAACTGCCTGACTTCCGGGCAAAGTGCACAGTCTGAAATCTTGACTTCAGATAGTCTTTGATGAAGATCATCTACTGCCACGCACAAAACATGTCAACCACGAGTGAAACACCTGCTGAGGCTGCTCACCAAGCATAGAAACAAAGCCATGACCACAAAGAATATTTTATGTCGACTTACAATGACCAAAGCCAGGATACAATGTCACAATCAAATTGATTCCGCTTCTTTGACCAGAAGAAAGAGACAACATCTTTACTGTCCAACAAAAGATACCTGTGTATGGTGGTTATCTCCGGCTACTCATAAGAGTGGAATTGGACTCAACCCAATCCCTACTTACTTAGGTAGCAAACCTGAACGACCTCATGGGCATGCAATAGTCTTCGACATAAACTCCAATACTAAACTCACGAGCACGTCAACATCAACAAAACCAGAAAACCTTTCCAATTCTCCCTTACCTTCTAAGCAGGTGCCCGCTGAAATTTCAGCACAGGAACCATGTCACCAAAAAAGGGTCAAGCACCATCCTTACCGGGCCTACCAACGTATGACTCCTCCGCCTCCTCCTCCAGTAGCTCAGAGCCAGAACCAGAAGACTATAAACCAAAGGTCAAGCAAGAAGCAGCCGTAACCCAACAAGTAGCCGCAACCCAAGACGCAGAGCCAGTCCAAAAGGCTGAGTCAACCCAAGAAGCAGCCGCAGCGCCAGGAGTCGTGGGATACACCTGGCCACCGCCGGGCTCACCCACAGAGAAAGATGAAGACGAACCCGAACCCGAACTCGATCCACTTTCAGATGATATAGATTGGGATAACGACGAAGAGGCACTCGGAAACGATGGAAACGAGGATGAGAATGAAGGAGAACCGCAGACCAGCGGCGTCGTTGCCCCTGACACCATCATCATCCAGTCAAACCCCGTAGACCGCATTTTCAGAACGCCATCCTCGACGGGCACCGTATATTCGTTTAGATCAGAACGGGCTGGAATAGACGCAGTAGTAGTAGTAGACTCAGCAGCGTCCTCGCCGCTCGGCCCAAAAAGTCCCACTCCGCCTCCTCCGTCCCCAGGTCCACCTGCGAACAAGCCGAAGGAGAAAGGTATGCCAGCGGGTATTGCTCCGAGAGCAGGACACACAAATGCGGAAACGGGCATGGAGGATGACGCGCCGGATGCTGTAGTAGCCCGCGCAGTAGCCGCAGCAAAGAAACGAAAACGCGAGGAGGAAGAGAAGAATAAGCGCAAGGCTCCGCCAAGGAAGAAAGTACGCGTGGTGTCACCGGAGGAGGAGGATGACGACGAGTTATCGGATGCGCCGTCGAATCCCGAACCTCCTTCGCCAGTTGCGGCTGTAGTTGAGAAGGGGAAGAAGGGGAGGAAGACCAACAACAGCAAGAAGGAAAGCACAAAGCCGAAACCGAGCAAAGCGCCTCCCAAAAAACCGACAAAGAACACCTCGAAACCGAAAGGCGCCAAGGCAAAGAAGGGTGAGGGTATAGAGAAAGTGAAGTGTGGTGGAAGAACGACCAAGGGCGAGCCGTGTAAGAATGAGAAGAATGTGAAGGAGGGAGATGAATATAATTGTGGCAAGCATAAGTCTGATAAGTGAGGGAAGGTAGGTGATCGCAACGATAATCAACGTGTAATTGTACGCAATCTTCAAATGGAACGCTTTGTTTTCAGGTTTTGTTTTTCATACCTGCAGTACAGTACGTGCACACATGATCTCCATCTCCATCTCCATCTTCATTTCCATCTTCGAACCTCCTCTTCTCTTGTTCCGCTATGCCGAAGCACATGTATAACCCATCCATATCCCATCGCTAAACCCAAGACCACAGCATCCCATCGATGCCAAGCCAACCCAGACGCTTTTCGTATCGTGAACGCAGCCTCTCGTGCTCGAGTTGAGAGGAGAGAGGAGTAGACACAGACGCCTCCGTGGAAAATGCACTCTATATGCCGGAGTGTATGCAGAAATATACAAGAAAGATACACGTTATTAAAAAAAAAAGTGTGTAGAGAAGATTTGCGTCGACGTGTCGTTCGACCGGGTATCTCGTGGGTGCGTTTACATGATAATCGAAGGAGCTAGAACGTGTTAGTCACTGAAATCTACATCGTAATGTGTGAAGGGAAACTTACTGTCAACGTTCTGCTTGATAGACTTGTGCGGCAGAACCGAACCACCATTAACGTAAACCTCATCACCAATCGTAACATCATCACCAAGCACAGTCACGTTCTCAAGACGCGCCCACTTGCCCACGGTGCTGTTCCAGCCGACAATCGAGCTCTTGACCCAAGCGTGGTCCTTGACGCGGCTGTTCTTGAGCAGCACACAGCGCTGGAGACGCACACCGTCGCCGATGACAACATTGGGGCCGATGGTCACGTTGGGGCCAATACGGCAGTTCTTTCCTATCTTGGCAGACTCGTCAATGAGCACGTTGCCGCCGTAGACATAGGGTTCCGAAGCGGGGGTCAGCAGCTTGGAGTTCTTGCGCGCGAGCGAAGAGAGGTAGAGGCATGTTCCCGAGAGGAAGTCCTTGGGCTGACCGACGTCCATCCAGAAGCCCTCGAGGTCGAAGGAGTGGAGCAGGCCGTCCTTGACAATTGCGGGGAAAGTCTCTTGCTCGATAGATGTAGGGCGCAGCTCGATGCGCTTGAGCACACTCGTGTTCATGATGTAGATACCGGCGTTGATGCGGTTGCCGACGAACTCGACGGGCTTCTCGACGAATCGGTCGATCTTGGAGGCGTGGCCGGGCTTGTGGACTACGACACCGTATTTGGAGGGCTCTTCGACCTTGGTAACGACGATGGTGCCTTCGTCGCCGTGTTGCTTGTGGAACTCGGCGAGCTGCTTGAAGGGGTAGTCGCAGGTGACGTCGGCGTTGAGGACGAAGAAGGGCGAGTCGTCCTTGCCCAGGACGTTCTCGGCGAGCTTGAGGGGGCCGGCGGTGCCGAGGGGCTCGGTCTCGACGGAGAATGTGATGGTCACGTTGTATTGCTTCTCGTACTGCACAGCCGGTTATTTGTGTGCTCCCGTTTGCGGAGGGGTGGGTATACTCACTGTCTTGAGCGCCTCGGCCATGATCTCGGGGCGGTAGTTGACGGCGAGGACAACATCTGTGACGCCAGCAGCGGCGAGGGCCTCGATCTGATGCTGGATCATGGGCTTGTTTGCGAACTCGACGAGCGGCTTGGGGTAGGTGAGGGTCTGCAATTGGCGTTAGCATTGCCGTTGCTTTTGGCATCGCGGGGCTCTCGAGCGAGGGCTGCGCGGGGAGGAGGGCTTACGAGAGGCCTCAGACGGGTACCGAACCCTCCGACGAGAATGATGGCTGCATTGGCTGTTAGCTACGTATAGCAGAGTCGCAATTGGCCAGGCGTACCTTTCATATTGGCGGTGTTGTAGTTGTGTAGAGGCGCAGGTACTAGGAACTTGTCGCAGGGAGGAACGGAAGAAAACAGTCAAGTCTTCAACACAGCACAAGCAGACAGTAATTGCCGGGTATAGAAGAAGAAGAGAGTCGCACGGTCGAGTGAAAGCGCAGGGCAAAGAGCAAGGGAGCTTGTTGGTGATGAGGCCAGCTGTAGGTTATATGCGTCGAAGCACCCGCGTCCACAATTAGCGGAGCTAATGCTTTCCCTGGAAATGTTCTAGCTCACACCGGCGCCGGTTCCCCTTTCTTTCACCCACCACATGCGCAACCCCCGAGTCCCGCTACGCCTCGTTAAACCAACTCCCTAACCGCTATCGTGATCGTGGCCTGGCCAGATGGGCCCTGTTCCTGATCGCTCGCCCTATCCGCTTCTAATTCGGGCTGTAGCTTCGTGTTGTGACTGCTAATAGGCTGAGTTCGTATTCCATCACGAGGGAACAATCAGCTCGTCTCATTTCTGCTCGTTGGGTACGTGACGCTGGTCATCGCTCTGTTCTCCCTTTTCCAAAGCGAATTGCACCACGTGCTCGTGAAGCTGTGAATTGGGCGGCGTGGTCATCTCAGAATCTTCTGATCACGCCTCGGTCCCCACGTCGGGACCCTGAAAGCTATCCGCGCCCCTGGTACCGCCAACATGTGGCTAGCTGTGGCTGACCGAGAACACTACCAAGCCTTTGACAAACGCCAATGTATCTGTCACGTCGCTCATGGTGCACCTGATCATTCATCAATGCACGACGTTTTGGATCTCTGCAGATCCATGGTACCTCCACTCGGCCCCTCACAGCCACATTCACGATGTTCGCTCCCGCTTCAATCAGCGTTTATGCGACGCGCGTCGTGTGTTGGTGGCGAGATTGCCACGATCATGCGTCCAATGCGCTTACGCAGTCTTGAATACGGGTAGATAAAATAGAACTGCGCTTCTGCCATTATTTTGATCTAGTCTCCACGATGCTCTTCGGTTGCCAGCGGGACTCCCCTCGGTCATTGCAAACCATGGACATGGCATGCCGGGACCAGACCATTTCTTCTCCGCAATGCATTGGCTGAACGCTGGTTCTGAATCATGTAATGTACAAACTCCCCGTACAAACGCCCAAAACACGTACTATACACAACTTCGTAACCCATCTCACATCCTACAGACTCGTACATTATCTCAACTCCTCTTCCGAAAGCTCATCGACCTCAACGCATCCCCCACACTACTCCCCCGCTTAAACATGCCCGGTCTCCTCCCGGGCCCATCCGTAGGACTCCGCTCAGGCGACAAACGCTGCCCTTGATTCCGCGGGCTCCCCGTCTTCGACGGCGTCTTAACCAGCCCCTCACCAAACACAAACTCCTTTGCGAAAATCCAATTCCCACGTTCATACCTCCACAGATCCAAACCCACGGCACGACCTTCCTGGTTTCTTTCACTCAGCTCCTGGCGTATCGTCGCGAACGCGCTGTCTACTTTCGTCTCCTCGTCGACTTTATTCATGACGGTCCAATGGGGCCGGAATCCACCTGCGTCTTGCTCGCTGAGGAACTCAGACCATTGGCTTTGTAGATCGGCGTGAACGTTCTTCATCTTTGTGTAGCCTGAGTCGACGTTGATGCCAACGCCTTTGCGCATCCGAAAGGGCTTGCCGGTTGAGACATCGAAGGGTTGGATGCTTCCCGATACCTGTGCCAGCCCTTGTTCTAGCGCTTCCATGTGCGAATGTGGGAGTGCATGGAAGAGCGTGAGATGCGCGCCTGTGCGGTTGAGGTGTTTAGGGAAGTACTGGTTTCGCATATCGTCCATGGGTTTGGCTAGGGAATCTGTGAGTTTGAGCGTGAGGACGTAGACTTGCTCATCTTGACTCGCGGTGTTCGGTCTATGTTCTTCGCGGGTATGATGCCCTGAGGGTCGAGTTTCTTCCACGACGTATGGCTCATTTTGAGCCTGCTTAGGACTGGTCTTGCCTTCCTTCTTGGTTGACCAGCCGCGGAAACTCGTTTTGGCACGGATTCCTGCGCCGGGCCGTTGGGGTTTCTTGGTCTGCTCTTTTTGCTGTGCTTGCGTTGCTTCAAAGGATGCGCGTAGATCTGGGTCTGAACAGGCTCGGGCTTGGATTTGAGGCTGCCGAACCCCGCCGTTGGGTGTGCTCACTGCGGCTGCGTAGGTCACTGCCATTGTGCTGAATCGTGGTGATGCTGCTGATGTGATCCCGTTAGACGGTGATGATGACAAAGATTGACCCAGCTGCCTGAGTACAGCAATCCTCATCGAAAATGGGAACGTGGCTGGTGATGTGAGTACTTTCACGACCTGCCCCTTGAAATGTTGTACGGAACTTCGGAAGATCACATACGTCACTCGACGGCCACTAGCGATGCGCCCGCGCTATGTGGAGATGCCTCGAGCTATCACGTTTAGGTTTATAGGACGGGAGTACCCCAAACCTCGTGATTTGAGGTGGAGATGCATTGAGTCGTAGGCTTCGAAGTATTGAACCGCAATATGATTAAGTATATGTAGCTGGCCAGAGTGTTCAACCGCCGCAATGTATGCTTGCTCGTATTCTGAGACCCACAGTTCTCGCTTCTACAGCGACCAGCTGCCTGCAGCCTATGTGGAACTGTCCACGGGTATCAAAGACTCCCGAACTCCACGGCCTAAAACATGGTATCTGAGCAACATAGGTCCCTAGATCAGCGTCTGCTGGTGGTGCGCCATCTTCCAATCGCCTGACACGCCCTCTGAAGCACCTTCCAGCACCCATGCGCTTGAGCAAATGGCCCTGAACGTCTCGCTGTCCCTTGTCGCCTCTACGCGGTAGTAGATCAGCGCGCTGTCCTTGCCCAGTATAACGACTTCATCGTGGCTGAGTTTGTATGACTTCCAGGGCTTGAAGTCGGGGCCTTGAAGCATGTTGTGGACTGTTGGGGACGATAGGGAGGTCAGGATGAGGTCGCTCGGGAAGATCATGACGGGATTGCTGGAGAGAAGCGGGACGAGTTCGGCGCCGGAACTGCATAGCGCTGCCCAGGCTTTGTGTTCGAGCGAGCATATCGCAGCGGTCAAGGACGGGTTCGTGAGCTTTGGCATCGTCATAGTGATTTCGAATGTCGCGATGACTGAAATTGGTATCGGGTGATGTGTTCGCGGTTCCTAAGTCACTGTGGT